GTGAAGAAAGCATATAGTCATGGAACCACAAACGCAGTACAGTTGTCAATCCCCAGGGGTGAATTGTTTTGCCAGTCAATTGAAAATTGTGTTAACAAAAGCAGCGATATGTTAGACGAGAAGTGATTTTCGGAAAAAATTATTGTAACAACGCGAAAAGATGTAGAGAAAAGTCCTTTATTATGAGATAAGATTCTAATGTGAGATAGTAGGTTTTCAACGTCCAACTTCAATCGCAAATCTTTTTTCGCAACGGTTACACGATCTAACAATCAATTTTCCACTAAACAGATTTCATTCCTTGGGCAATAAATTTATGGTGGAATCAACAAATGATGCCTATTAATTTAGCAGAAACTCCGCTATCTCACATTAGGAGCCTATCTCATAGTAGAGGACTTTCCTCTACGTTTCCTAAATAATTAGAGAATTTCGATAAGTGCGCGAAAGTTTATACTCAATTTTCGATTGACTTGAAGCTCTTCGAACATTAATAAAAATTGTATCAATCGTCAAAGGACATGTTTTACAGCTTTTAGCAAGTTTTCAATAATTTTGTAATTATGAATAATCTCGTTTGCAATAAAATTTCGTTTAAAATTAGCTAAAGAATCTCATCACTCGAATTGCTTATCGAAAATCTCGATGATTGTGTATCCTCGTAGTGAATCGGTTCGATTTGACAAACAGCGAATCTAGGCTGGCTCGGTGGATCGCGTCTCTCGCTTGCCACAGCATTTACGATACGCCGGAACGACGTCGATCGAGTACTTGTTGCCGTCGCTTGCCGTCATTCCGTATTCCTGCTCGGCCATCTCCTTCCTCGTAATTTTTCCCCGCTTACAGCGCGGTCCAACTTTTTATTCGCTTCTCTCTTTCAGCCGCCCTCTCAGCCTTTCTCCTTCCAGCGCGGCCCTTCCATCCGTCCGTATGATCATGCCATTCCACGGCGATGATCCTCTGCTCACTAGGGCTTGTGTAGCTTCCACCCTTTGCCACCCTCTCTCGGCACATGTACACAGACGAAACCAGGTGCTCGCGCACACCTAAAAGGGACGCGCACACAACACATTCTGTCACCGAGCGTTATTGCGCCACGGTGTTAACGAATGTCCACGCGATTCGATACACCGGCTTAGTGTCCATTCGACTGGCAAGATACTGGCGTGTAGCTGGTGCGGGCTGACAAGTCGCGCACAGCGAACATAGAATGGCGGGGACAATGAATTGCATGAATAAAATGGAACAGGAGCTTCTGTATGTTTTTTTTACCTCTCAAGGCTCGAGGAATATGACGTTAGAACTGTCTGTCTTCGAAGTCAGTATTGTTTTTTTATAAGTAACAAGTCTTAGGAAGTGCCTTGAGACGATACCAACGATTAAAATTATGTATATCTTTATGTCATAAAATTTTCCAATACGCTTTCGTACCGCAATTACACAAAACTGTCAAGTATTCTTTCAGTAAACCTAAGAATTTGTCTTTTGGAACAGCTGGTCTTCCGCGGTCGATTTTATATTTGTCTCTTTTTGTTGTTTATTTCACCTTTTTGGATAAAATTGTAATCTAATTGTAAAGTTTCCCGGATATTTACGTATTCGTTTCTCGAGGAATTTTAATGCACTAAGTGCACGTGAATATATAAACCGTACATTTTTAAAATAATGTTGGATACGTACGCTATTGTCTGCCTGATATAAAATAGATATTTTTAGCGTTAATAAAGCGGAGCTTCGTGTGTGACGGTTCAGGAGGGATATCCTTCTAGCGCGGGCTGAATTCCCCTCTTGTGTCTTATAATCCACCTGTGTGTATCTCATCTTGTAACGCCCTTTGCCTTTTTCTTGCTGCTTTTGTTCGCTCCTGTGATAAAAAAAAAACTTTCTGAAATGTAGATACTACGTGCTTACGCAAATAACAGGAAGTAGCTGCTGTACTTCACGTCATTTTATATTAGATCGAATTTTAGCTCGTGCAGTTAGAGAGGGGATGTGAACGCGAACAGTAAGTTACAAGTTTTTTCATTACGCCGCACGATTTAAGCTGGCAAATCAATTCGTAATTTTATTTCATCGAATCAAGTGCTCTTTCCGTTTACAATTTAAATTGTTAAACGGGCATGCTTCTCGCAAAGCAAGAAACTCGATTTATTGTCTAATAGTATTGCATAATAATCATAATAGAAATTTATTTATTAAAATGAAGCTCGCAGCAAATTTTATGTAAATATTTCTTAATTGAGATTACGAGTCATTATACTGAAAAGTTACTTTTTCAACAATTAATTAAGCTACAATTCTTAAGGTGTTTTCTTTTTCAACGAGTCTCCCGTTTGCTCATTTGCAAATACATTATAACCGACGAAATTTGTAACTAAATTAGCATGACATGCTGCGTCAACTGTTTTTTTCGCTGCGCAAAAATTTTGCAGTCTATTACTACAACACTTTTGCCGATTCATTTTATGTAAACGAAATGACTGAATTTCCAGATAATTACAAGTGGTCGGTTCTTTTTTTTCTAGACGGCTTCACAATGGCTTTGTGAAATTCGTAGAAGTACAGCAATAACGAGGACAAGTATTTACGAATGATTTCATGACTGTACAAGAAGGATGCTCGCGAATAACGAGAACAAGTATTTACTCTAGGGAAACAAAGGATCTCATGCCTCATTCTTTATTCTCGCGGTTCTTCAGATACTTACGCTGGGGATCTGCCATCATAATAACGTTAACGTAAGACTCATCAATTTGTAAACTTTACTGGAAATAGAGTTAAAACGTACGATGGAAATTGGAAGGAACCGGTTCTGTAAATTTTTATATTAATAAAAATTTTCAAGCGTAAAATATCGAAATGTTCGATATCGAAAAATTTCTCGGTACATAATCGTATTAATTTTAATAAACCCTGATAACCTCGTCTTACTTTGAAACACATAAATTCGTATTAATTTGATTGAACTCTGGAATTGTTTTGTAAAAATGGCCCAGTTATTAGTCCCTTACGAAATTAAATGTCAATAATGTCAAATAAAAGAGTTAAAGTGGATGAAAAAATTTGTTTGTACATTTGCTTATAGAGTGGCGATTCTATAAGCGCAATTATAATATATAACGTACAGTTGTGACGTAACATACAGAAATATTCACTGTCCGCATTGTATGAATCGTGCAAAAAATTACTGGCATTGTGTCAATGTGCTCTATGGTGATATAATGCTTGTCGACGTAGAATGCCGAGAATTTCTTTGACGTTGAAGAAAGCTCGAAAATCGAGGGCGTATCACGGGTTATACATTCAAACTTTATCCTCCGTCCTGAGAACTCCGGTGCAGTCGAACTTTAGACGCGATAATCTATGACTCGTGTTCTGCTCGTCGAAATGACTCGCTAAGCTGGAGTTAGATTTCTCATTCAACCTCATAATAGGGTATCCGGAACTGCATTGGCAGCTCATGCATGAAGTGTTTGCATTATTTTAGCGTCAACTGTCAAGTTGAAGCGCTATTTTTACGCGTAAAATATATACATATGTGCTTATAAACCGTATCGTAACTAGAAATTTTTGTGTCCAGAGTAAATACTTGATTTTGCGCCTCCAAATAAAATTATAGACGTTTTTAGATATTAATAGCACGGGTGGGTATAATGCAAATGTATTTAGGTATTGCTTCCTGTCTGTTTAAGATGAAATACCTAAGTGCCAAACATTAGCCTCTGTTGTGCCTCCCAGGGCTCGCGCCTCTGGCGTGGCCCAGTTGCCTGATCCTACTCTCTAAAAATCAATCAGTGCATTATCACTGAATTATTCAGTGATGTACTTGATAACTGTTTTTTCAGTGATAATGCACCGATTGACTTTTGGAGGGTAGCTACGACACTGCTTATAAATATTACATAATCAGATTGTGCGTACAAAATTGCGAGTTAGAATTTTTAAGTACTAAATTCTGTGATTTGTAAGAAATGATAATATTTGTGAAGGAGAGTATATGAATAAGGAATGACAGCAATAGGTTTAATTTATTACAAAAATGCTCGCGCGAGAATGAATAAAGGATAATGGCGTGCGATTCGTGTTGAAGCGGTGCAATATCGATAAGAATTGTTTGATACCTCTGACTCAAAGCCATTCAGCCTTTGAATTACGGGAAAGCAGAATATCGCTGGTAATTTCAGACTATGCGAGGTTCCAATCGACTACTTGAATGATTTAAAAACGGGTTCACCCTCTTTAAGGCATACCTTGTCGCTTTTTGCCTACCGGCGATGAGACCGGTGCGGGGGTTGAATGTGGTTCCATTCATGCTTATTTCAAGCTCATTGTGCGCCTGGTGTATTCAGCCTTTGACTCGTTTCTCGTGTCGTCACTGTAGCGACGCTCCAGAGAGAGAGAGAGAGAGAGAGAGAGAGAGAGAGAGAGAGAGAGAGAGAGAGAGAGAGAGAGAGAGAGAGAGAGAGAGAGAGAGAGAGAGAGAGAGAGAGAGAGAGAGAGAGGAGAGAGAGAGAGAGAGAGAGGGGGGGGAGTAGGGCTGTGTATGTCTCTGTGTAGAGAATCAGGAAATACCGGTGTCACATTTTCTTCGATGGTAACAAACATGCAGCCACAACGAAGGAATAGGAACATTGTGATTCATCGAACTATCGAACTTCTCTTTATGCGTAAAATGTAATTTACACGTGCGGATAGAAATAGCGGTCGAGCACAAGTGAAATTAATCCGCGATTTCATCTCTCATCTGTAATTACGTAAATGCTTGATGCTTTATTTGGACAAATATCATTAGCCTGAATTTCGTTTATTGCGTTATAGTCAATTACGTAGAGAGATTTAGAAGTGGCGGTGTCTCATGCGAGCGCCATTTATTTCCATAAATGCTGCGTATTAGCATGTTACTATGAAGTAACATGCTAATTAGTGAAAGATACCCACCGCAATGGATTGTTCACAGTTTTATAGTTAAGAGTAAAACTATGCTTTCCCATTGTTCTTAGGAAGCTGAAGAGACAACGGGAGCGCCTGTGTCGATTCGTGTATAACCAGATTTTGACAGCAGAATGTACCCAGCTAAATGGAACATGGCCTGACCCGGATGACCCGCGCTGGAACAGCGGTGAATACGCGGAACTTCTACCCGACTGGTTCCCGACAAACGCGACGAATACCTCGACTTTCGGGAACGCAACGACCACGCCGACGTCGGGTAATGTAATTGAAATTATGTCACACAATCATGCGACTCGCAGAGTAAGAATATTACGAATCGCGCGTAAACCGTTCGGAATACGTACGGAATGATTGTGCTGTTACTTTTTTTCGAATTATGGAAACGTGTTTTATGCAAGTGTATTATTGATAAGTCCGTTAATACACCGTTGTATTATAGACGCCACCATATTAACGTCTTGTCACGTGTGTCATTTGCTGATAAAGCTTTACGTCTACCAAACAGATGAATCTGTGGTGCCCGTTTTACCACCATTTACGCTCTGGCAGACCGTACTGATTGCTATCTGCCTGGCGATATGTATACTGCTAACTATCGGCGGTAACATCCTCGTTCTTCTGGCATTCATCGTAGATAGAGCCATCAGGCAACCGAGCAACTATTTCATCGCATCATTAGCTTGCACTGATATGCTTATCGGTAAGTCCTAACGAAATTGTCGTTCATTTTTGTCTCCTCTTTCAGTAGACATCGGGTCGTTTCGTAAAAAACGGTACCACATTGTAATTTAAATTTATTCTGGAATATTTAAATCGTGCACTAAAGGCAAAAATTTTGCTCTCGACAGATAAAAACGATAATTTCTCTACATTTCTATAAATTTCTATTTATAAGTAATTAACAATTGAATGATTTATTACAATTGCGATGGTTATGTAATAATATTGTATTTTTTTATGTGTTAATAATGCTAATAAGTATGTTGAAAAGATCTGTCAATAGACAATTCTTAGAGATACAGTTTTCCAGAATTTTACTAGACATTGTTGATATCATTAACTCGTACGACGCTATCAAGTAATTTTGCATCTCATGTGGTTTCCATAGAAGCTATGTGTTAAAGCAATTAATTATATATAAGAAAAATATAAGAATACGTCGCTAGGAAAAAAAGATTTATACCGAGATATTAAAACTTTCGTTAATTTCATTCCGTCATTTTGTTGTATTTTATAATAAAAATTACAATGTGGTTTGCAGCACGCTGCGTTTCGATTCGGTTTCTTTGATAGGATATTGATAGGGTCTGTAGCTTCAGAAACGTTTGACGGTATTTTCTAATGCAAATCTCTCAGTTACAAACGGATCCCGTTGTATATTCATCGCGATGATAATCGTACATATGTGTAATTTGGTTATCATGAGGTCTGTCTGAATGCAGAATACGAGTAATCAGATACACGTGGCAACAGAAACCGACTATACAAGTAACGGCGTAATTGTTGTGCAGGCACCGTGTCGATGCCGTTCTACACAGTCTACGTGTTAATGGGATATTGGAATCTGGGACCTCTCCTCTGCGATCTATGGCTGTCAGTGGACTATACGGTATGCCTTGTGTCCCAGTACACTGTTCTCCTGATCACGATCGACCGCTTCTGCTCGGTGAAGATAGCCGCGCAGTATCGCAGCTGGCGGACGAAGCAGCGCGTAATTTGGATGGTGACCATCACTTGGATCATACCGGCGTTACTGTTTTTCATCAGCATCTTCGGCTGGGAGCACTTCATCGGTTACAGAGATCTAAATCCGGGCCAGTGCGCCGTACAATTCCTCAAGGATCCGGTGTTCAATACCGCGCTGATAATAGGATACTATTGGACAACGCTGATCGTTCTGTTTATCCTCTACGGCGGTATATACAAAACCGCATATGACATGCAGAAAAAGAGCGAGGCCAAGCAGCGCAAGATGCAGTCGATGGTCGCGCTGAGCGCCGGCGCGATGTCCGGTATGGCCGGTCGCGCCGCCGGTATAGGTATTTCTAAAACACAGAGCACCTTGTTGAGTCAGGATAAACCGAAGATCGGAGCCACGTCGCTGGATGACAGTGTCGCTGGCGCGGATGCGGCCACCGCGCAGAAAACGGCCACGAAGATGATTGATGGCGCGACGGCGCCGGATACCACGAGCAAGAATGTCTCCGCGACTATCACGGTGATGGAAACTGAAAAGTCCGAGCGCTCCAGCAGTCCCGCTTTCGATTCCGACGAGGAGAGCACAACCGGCACCACGCAGCAGGCCAACACCATCAGGAAGCGATCCTCGCTGGCAGGTCTGGTAGCCCAGTCCGGCGCTCTTCAAGTTTTCGCCACTAACGGACGCCTGAATGGCATCGTGCCGATCAAGGTCGAGTTGAGCGTGCCAACAGCGAGGAAACTATTGCCGGTGAGTCCTACGCGCGACACGCCGGCGCAGAAAGCTCAAACACTGCCGAAGATACAGGAGCTCAGTCTTCTGGACACCGACAATCCCGCCGAGCCTGACAAGTCCAGTAGCCGGACGCTGACGCCGGAGCAGTCGTTAAAATCGAACGACGCCGACGGCAATCAGCAATCGATCGTCTCGATTGAGGTGACGCCGCCCGCTCAACTTAAGCGAACGTCGATCAGTAATAGTCAACAGAACATCATACCGCCGCCCATGCAGTTCCAAAGTAGCCCGCCGGTGTCGGACAGTCCGACCACGTCCTCGTCGACCGACAGACCTAGATCATTGATCGTACGCTCCCATGGCCACGGCACTTACGACATTCTCACTGGTCTCGATGGCGGTGATTTACGGTACATGGACGAGAGCTCCATCATCTTGCCCAGCCCTTCTTACGAGAGTCCACCGTCTTCCTTTTCGTGTAGTCTGGCGAATCCGCTGTCGACGGCACCCCCGTCGCCTATTCTCGGTAACACCGTGGCAGCCGGCTCGAATACCAGCCTGCTGCAAGCCGCTCTCATCAGAGCGACGGCGCAGCAGGCTGGCACCAGCCAGCTGGCCCAAATCGCGCAGAGCAAACAGCACCTTCAGCCTGCGATGTCTAACGCATCGAGTCAAACGCACCCGCCGCGCGTGTTCATCACTCATCAGACGAACGTCGCGTCACAGACGTCGCCTACTGTCAGCAAGGTGCATACGGAGGTCACCGTAAATGCCGCTAGAACCAAGCGTCAACCGGTAACGACGGTAGTCACAACGACGGTTATGCCGATAGAATCGTCTAACAGCACGACGGATCGATACTCGGATCAACCCACCAAGACGAGCAGTAACCTGCCGCAGAACTCGTCGTCCAGCAGCATAATAATGCCGACGACCTCGGCCGCGACGAATAACCAGGAGGCGAAGAGCCAGTCGAAGAAGAAGAAAGAAACGTCGGACGCCGAGCAAAGCGGCTCCAGGCGCGACTTCGTCAAGTCTATCGGGAAACGATTGAAGGCCAAAACGCAGAAGAAGGACCACACGGTAGGCCGGCAAAAGTCGCGAACGGAGAACAGAGCGCGCAAGGCTTTTCGCACGATATCCTTCATCCTGGGGGCGTTCGTCGCTTGCTGGACACCTTATCACGTATTAGCACTAGTAGAGGGGTTCTGCGCGAATCCACCGTGCACGAACGAGCACCTCTTCATGTTCTCATACTTCTTATGCTATGCCAACAGTCCCATGAATCCTTTCTGCTACGCTCTGGCGAATCAGCAGTTCAAGAAGACCTTCACCAGGATACTGAGGGGTGATTTGCACATGACGTAAAACACTGCGGATCGTCTCACGGAATACTCGTTTTGATAATGTAGCTAACATAAGCGATACGGACTGTTTTTCTTTCTTCTGTTTTTGCGGAGAAGATGGCCTTCCATATTTAATACCGAATTACACTCACTTATCGTAACTGTGGTGAACTCGGACAATAAATAAAATGAGAAAAATATTTTAAGACTCGCCGGCGAAGTCAGGTGTTACGCGCCTTTTGTACATAATACGCACTCAAAAACCGATCGAAAGTCATTATGCTCGTATGTACATACGCTGTACACATGTGTGAATATTTGTTAACGTTTATGTGACCAGGACGCGCGCGCATAACAGATGTATTGTACATGTAGTCCTAGACAATTATATGTGTACCACAATAAATAAACGCTATGCTGAACCGGAGATGCATTCCTAACAACTGGTCCGTACCGTAGAGAGAGCTTGTGAGATGTAACGCTGCGCGGAAAACGCGTGCATTATAGTTAAGTAGTAATTACATAATTTAATAGTAAGCATTTAACGTAAGCCAAACGAAGAAATATCGTTCATCACGAAAGACGAAAAGTGAAAATCTTAAGTAATATAAGGCATTCGCATCCAGCTGTATCATGAAACGTCAGTCGCTTTGTAAATAAATGACCGGCTGTATTACAAAACGCCAGTCACTTCGAATAAAGGACCGTCTCCTCTCTTGTACGCAGTAATCGCGGAGCGTTTCCGCGTTGCATTATTAATTCCCGGCGTATATTTCAAGTGTTTCACCGGTTATTTAAATGTGCACCGTCTCTCTTTTTCTTTTTACAAACAACGAATCAGCTTGAGGTAGCTCGCCTTTATTACAAGTACCGGACAATTAACGATTTTCTTACGGCTTTCGATTATGAATCGGAATGTACACTGCCTCGAGATGGCCTAATAAGCAGGCCTTTTCTCTTCGAATTTTATGACACATGGTACTCTCCTCACAAACGAGCTTCCATCGATGTCTGATTGATGTTTCATGGCGTTATGCTCGCAGAGAATATTTTGTCTTAATAAATATTTCAAATGTATTATTTAATTATCAATTATCAATTATTAGCTAATTGTTTCAAGTTAATTACTTAATTGTTTTCGTTTGAATACTCATTTCTTACTTTATTATAAACCTTAGTATTCTTATTGTTAATATTAACCATATTATATTACAGTGATATTTAGTGAAAAATGTTTCAACCAAAAGGTGTAAGGCTTGAAAATATCTATTTACTAGTTTTATCAGTGTGACCTTGGGTGGCGTCGTCTAAGGTCAAGGTCAACGTTTTTTTTAGAGGAGACGCCTATTTTTTATTATACCATCTTTTTCTACCAGTTAATTAGAACAGCTTTCGTCTGAGACACTTTTTGTCTAATATTTTCTCAGATATTCAAACAAGAAAACTCGATAACTTTTTCAATATTTAGCTTACGATATCTCGATAACTGTAGTAAAAAGTGGTACAGCACTTTTTTTACTTGATTCGGTCTCAAGAGTATGCTGTAGTGTCTATAATTTTCATGAACACTTGTGTATAAACGAAAACTCCAAAAAGATTTTTTAAGATTATTATATTAAAATTCTCACTGTATTTTCGTAGCAGATTCTTGAGACCAAATCAAGTAAAAAAGTACAGCATCACTTTTTCTCCCAATAATCAGTTCTTGAGATATCGTTAGCTAAATATTGAAAAAGTTACTACATTTTCCTTGAATATCTACAAAAATATTAGACAAAAAATGCCTCAGACAAAAGTTGTTAAAATTAATCAATGCAAAAGGACGATACAATAAAAAAATGGAGGTTTCCATTTAAGAAACTAAAAGTGATCTTCATGTGGCCTTCAATTATCCAAGGTCAAATCAATGGGATCATCTTATGTCCCCCTTCGAACCAAACAACTGTTGTCTGAAACATTTTCCGTCAAAATGCGTTACTTAAGAAATATTTAAGTTGGGTAATTAAAATGGGACACTCTGTATATTTTGTATA